TTAATATATCTGCAAATAAATCCAACTAAAAAAACATTATTATTATTTTATTTCTTTTTTTTTTTTTACATTTTGCCTTCTATCTTGTGATTTGCTCTAAAGATACAACCATGCAGTCTGATCACTGGGGGGACTGAGGAAATGCTTCCTCCTGCTTGCAGCAGATTGATCATAGGGGGAGGGGAGATGGAGGAAATGATTCCTCCTGCTTGCAGCAGATTGATCATTGGGGGGAGGGGAGACTGAGAAAATGCTTCCTCCTGCCTGCAGCAGATTGATGACATCATCTCAGCCAAGGCGTAGCCATTGGACTGGAGTTCAAATCCACCTGCTAAAGATAATAGGTGGAGCTTTTTGGGAAAATTATATTGTTATAGGTCAGGAATTCGGTTGCGACTTGTAGACCTGTTTCTGGGATGTCTGTTCTAATAGTGATACTGCTGGAGGAAGCATTTCCCCAGTCTCCCCTCCCCCAATGATCAATCTGCTGGAACCAAAATCCTAACTGACATGGTAAAAGACACCGAGATAAAACATGTCTACCCCGATGATGTCACAACAATTGTCCTACAGCTATGTAACTCGAACAACTGACACATGCCCCAGATGTCATGGCACCATGGTAGACTATGGAACAAGTTGGTTTCACCAACTGTCAGACCTTCCATCTTATTCTTGGACAATCAACATCTGCCTTGACACATTCCATGGTGACTAGATTACAGTGTGGCTATAAATACAGGGGCATGCCTCACCCAATGGAGTTAAGGAAGCTGTTCGGATGAGTAGAGCAATGTCTCCATCATTACAGTGCCCCATGAAAACAAACTTGACTACCAGTTTTGCTCCCGATCTCAATTGCTGATCATACATATGGGAGCACTGGTATGATATTTTGTATCTAAAGGTCTTCAATCGATGCCCACCTTGTCCTCTCCGGTGACCCTCTCTGCATTTCAAACGGTCCCTCTTATAAGAGAGAACGTGCCGGATAAATCTACGGCACAACTCAAGAATCTCCGTCCCTCATATGTATGCAAATCCCATTAGTATTTTCTCAATCACAGACTGATACAGGTTGTCTAGTAATTGTCGGTTGCCAAGAATGCGATAATAGAACGCAGCCCCGGAGCATCCCCCAACTTAGCACCGCTAATTAATGCACCACCGCATTGACAACTGGAGAAGAACCTGGGAACTAGATGTTTGTGAAACTGACGAGAGACCATTTCCTCGCCAGCAGGAAACAAAGAGCACGAAATGAATGTTTTGGAGCGCACCTCAAATGCCGAGGAACCCCCCCAACTGATTCAATGCATTCATCTCAAAAGTGGATTCTACCAAGAACCTGAAAATGACCCAATTTTCCCACAGGAAGACAAAAAGAAGTCACAGGAACCCTTGCTGGTTGTTTTTCTTGTTCTTCGAATGATCAGGGTGATGAGTGCAAACGTTCTCCATTGTCTACACACAGATATCCAAGACACAAAGAGGCAGATTCACTTCAACGGCATAAGCAAATCAAAACAGTTGTTATGCCAACAAGCGACTGATATGTAGTAAGGATGATTATTAATTGTTTGCTGCGGGTCACCAAGCTTTTTCCTTGGCTTGTGTTCACTAATTAAGCCTTCATATGAGAGGATGAGGTTCTGGTACACAAGGACGTTTAATTACTATGTGCATCTGTGTGCAAAACCTGCCACGGGCAATAACACTTGGGGGATGTTCGTATTAGGGTCACCTGTGGTAATGATAAGCCACATTGCCTTGGGGACTAAGCGTTCCCTTAAAGAGGAAATGCACTATGAAAGCTGTGCCCAAAAAAAAAGGCAGCTAGAGGGCAAATGATGGGACCATCCTGGTAGAACTATGGAACATTGGGGGTTCCCTTAAAGAGGTACTGAAGTCTGAAATCTGTGCCAAAAAAGGACAGCAAGAAGGCGGAGGATGGGGCATGTTGTAGAAATACGGAACGTTGGGGATTCCTATAAAAGGGGAAAGCTGTGAACAGAAAAGGCAGCCAGAGGGCAAAGGATGGGACCATCCTGTTAGAACTATAGAACGTTGGGGGGTTCCTATAAAGAGGAAATTAACTCTGAAAGCAGTGCCCCAAAAAGGCAGCCAGAGGGCTAATGAAGGGGCATCTTGTAGAACTATGGAACGTTGGGGGTTCCCTTTAAGAGGAAATTAACTCTGAAATCTGTACCTAAAAAAGGCAGCAAGAGGGCTAATCATAAGATCATGTTGTAGAACTACGGAATGTTGGGGGTTCCTATAAAGGGGAACTGAACTCTGAAAGCTCTGCACAAAAAAGGCAGCCAGAGGGCAAAGAATGGGACCATCTTGGTAGAACTATGGAATGTTGGGGGTTCTCTTACAGGGGAACTGAACTCTGAAAGCTGTGCCCATAAAAGGCAGCCAGAGGGCAAAGAATGGGACTATCTTGGTAGAGGCAGGGCTTTGCTTTCTCATGTTGGCACCTTCAGCAAGGAGACCCATGATCAGCACCATAATGACACCACCACATCTGAATCCAAAGCTCCGGTGACCAGCAACCAGAGGCAACAGTGCCTTAGAACTCACAGTGCAGATATACAGCTATGAGGCTGTAGGATAGGAGAGCCAAGGAACACACCCATACCAGGAAGAGCTCTGCCATTTTTCAGGAGGAATTCCAGAAAAAAAGGTAACCTTTAGGGTACTACTTGGTCAAAATGAACGTTTCTAGAAGATCTCTATAACATAGCAAATTGTTTCTTTTTCAATTTTGATATTGAGAAAGAAAAGCAGAGAACCAAACTGATTGAATATTAGAGTCGCCCTCCAGCCGATGCTTAAACAGTATTAATGACCACCCCTCTCCCCCACATGATGACTGGCTGCTCGGGGCTGAGCACTGAATTCTAGAAGGAAGGGGAGCAGGTTGGAGGTAAGGATCAATGGGAATTGGGGAGAACATGTCTCTCTGTCCTGAATTAGGAAAGTAACAGTTCCTTTTAATGCCTACAAACATTGTGTGTTCTAGAGGGTCAGGGGTGTCTCCATGAGGCAGCCCCAGGTGGCATCTCATTGAGGGGCCACAGGTATGTGAGGGAAGGCGGCAGAACGGGTGACCACTGTCAGAATACTAGAATACATCACTGTTGTGTCCTTCACTGCGTCCTGTAGGGACATTGAGGCCGCTGGGAGGACTCGCTGGGCACTGCAAGAGACACGGACGATCAACGGGATGATTTCAGAGCTGTGTTTGGGGGCGCAAGCAATGGCAGAGGTAAGTATCAACTATTTTCTGGACAGGTACATCTCTATTTCAAAGATACCTTTTTGAGATGTTTTAAGAAACAAAAATCAGCCTTTAATTCAGCAATCACTTCAATAAGCCATAAAAGTACCCAAATCAGTGTTTATATTAACTTCCCACAGTCCCCTGCACATCAGGACTGGGAGAGGGCGGGTCAGCACTGGGAGCCAATAACTTCTACCACATTGTACATTTTAGCCCTGTTAGTTCAAAACAGAAAACATGTTTACAGGAGGGAAAGGCCCAGGATGACCTCCTCAGTGTTCTGCTGCTCATTCTGTGTACAATCGCAGGCTGCAGGTGGAGAGGTAACGAATGAAGCAGAAGTTCAGCAGTGAGTCCCGCCTTAATCTCATTTTATTTCTTACCTTGAAGAAGCCATGTTTTCGGTTACGTTGCCCCAGCCACAGCGTACTTCCCGGTGAAAGGTTGGTCTCCGGAGGATCGATTACACGTTCGTAGATTCTGCAAAAGTAAAAATCAGAATTTCTGAGTCAGAAGACGAGCAAAACTCTCTGCCATGTACATTGAAAGGGGTAACAAGCTGCACGATGGACTCCGCAGCCTCTCTCTCTTATACAGTTTACTGCTGTGTGTATGCAGAGCGATATGCCTTGTGCATATTATGTTCCGTTCATTGAACCATTATGTTACATTATTTCTCGAAATATGGGGCCGGCGCTGATATCGTTAAATGTCCGCCCCGCAGGAAGATAAAATTACTGTCATTATGGCTCATTAGTCAAAACACAACTATCCTGACCAGACAACTGTGGAGCAACAGGAGGCTGTCTGGAGGCACAGGGGCCATGAAGGCAAATAGAGTGTGTTTGGGGATACAAGGGGACTCAGGGCATGCTTGGAGACACAGGGGCTGCACAGTGTACTTGGTGCACAGGGTCACCCATGGGAACACAGGTGGTGAACAGGGTGCACGTGGAGACACAGAGGGTGCACAGGAGCACATCTGAAAACACAGGGTGCACTTGGAGACACAAGGGGTGCACAGGGGCATATTTGAAGACACAGGGTGCACCGGGGCACATTTGGAGACACAAGGGATGCACAGGAGCACATTTGGAGACACAGGGGGTGCACTTGGAGACACAGGGGGTGCACAGGAGCACATCTGGCGACACAAGGGATGCACAGGAGCACATTTAGAGACACGGGGTGCACAGGGGCACATTTGGAGACACAGGGGGTGCACTTGGAGACTCAGGGGGTGCACAGGGGCATATTTGAAGACACAAGAGGAGCACATTTGAAGACACAAGCGATGCACAGGAGCACATTTGGAGACACAGGGTGCACAGGGGCACATTTGGAGAGACAGGGTGCACTTGGAGACACAAGGGGTGCACAGGGGCACATTTAGAGACACAGGGGGTGCACAGGAACACATTTGAAGACACAAGGGATGCACAGGAGCACATTTGGAGACACAGGGTGCACAGGGGCACATTTGGAGACACAGGGTGCACTTGGAGACACAAGGGGTGCACAGGGGCATATTTGAAGACACAGGGTGGACAGGAGCACATTTGGAGACACACTTAGAAATATGAAGGTGCACACAGGGTGCATTTGGAAACACCGGGGGTGCACAAGATGCACTTGGACGGACTAGGTGAAGGAAGCATGAAGACACTGAGGCTCGGGGAGAGCAATGGTGCTTAGCAGGCTAGGCACGAGGGGGGGGGGCCTCATCTTAGGCATAGCAACGTGTTGAACACATAGTAATGCACTGCCTGGCACTTTAAGGCTGATTGACTGAAATCCGAAGAGAAGACTCTGCGCTGGATCCCAGGAGAGCCGAGTGCTCCACTGGTGTAACATACGTGTTCCGTCTCAGCCGGGTACGAGCGCCGTTCGCGCTAGTGCGCAGGCGCGCCGTATGGCGCCGCCCACTCTCAGACGGGGTCCGGCGGCATCACTGCGCAGCCATAAAGCCGCGGGCCACTGTTTGATCGGCGTCCCACTATTTTGGAAGCAGGACGCTGATCAAAGCAAACCTTTCCTGCCTCAAACAAGGATCCACGGAAGCATCTCACCAGGGAGACAGCACAAGTGCAAGTACCAGGCTTCGGCCAGAATCATTGACCTGCTAAAACCTCGAGGCTCCTAACTATTTGGCCAGCAGCCTGATATGCTGTGTGCTGTGTTACCTCATCTCTATATTGAAGTGCTAATTGTTTCCCTGGGAGCTGTTACAACTCCTGCCAACTGAATTACTGTCTTTCAACTCCTATACCTTTGATCTACTAGTTAAAGATCTTGTCAGCTGTTATAACTTGCATCTAGTTAAACTACTGTGTTACAACTAATACTTATTGGTCTGCTATGCAATAACTCATACCTAATGAACCACTAACTAATATCTTGTCAGCTGTTACTTATTGGTCTGCTATGCAATACTCATACCTTAGGAACTACTAATTGTTATCTTGTCAGCTGTTACAACTACTACCCAATTGAACTGCCGAACTGTGTTCCACACTACCCTACAGACATCCCACAGGGTAGTAGTGCTGCAATACGGGGCATGATGTTGAGTAGCTCCCTCCTCGCCTAAAAACATACTCGGCTAAAGAGGAGAGCTACAATCTGATACCCGTCCTTTAAGGAGAGATCCTTAACCGCAGCTGCGGTCCTGGGAACAGTCAACCCCCGGGGTGGTTGTTACAACTGGACACAACTTCTCACTTTGAAGAGATTTTCTCTCACTTCCAGTTTTTGACTCTAGCACAGGAAGTAAGGGGAAATCTCCCCGTACACAGAAAACATATAGAAAACCCTGACAACCCTCCAAGACTTCAAATACATGTTGTCTTTGGATACATTTTATCAGTACAATATCCCTCTGAAGAAACACATACTTGCAGAACAACACACAAAATCCATGCGGATAGTGTCTCTTGTGTTAATTAAACTCGGCACTGAAATCGACGGGACATGAAAAAATAACCGCCAAATCGCAGAATTCACAAACCGCGTCACATTTCTGCTTCGCTGCACTTTTCACCTTTTTTTTTTTTTTTTAGATCAAATTTCCCAACTCTGATCTGAAGCTCTTCTCGTCCCCATACAATGATTTTGACAAGTCTTCAGTCCGCGGATTGTGACTGAGTTTTGTCACCGGTGACACGCCAGCTCCCTGCCATCCCAATATTCTATTCCAGGCTCTACCGTCTGGGGGGAAAGGGAAATCTGATACAGACAGACGGAGAAAATGACAGGTCTGCGGTCTCAAAGGCGGCCAGTGATCTGAGATGATGAGGCTCGGAGCTCACCTGTCACCGTGGCGTGTGAGCCAATATAATGCCCCCCTGCATAAAAATGAACAGGATCCACTCTTACTGCTAGCTTTCCTGCCTGCCATCTACATCTGCCACTGCAGCAGCTGTAGTCCTGTCCTAGAGTGACAATGCTGCTCCTCCATAGATACAGTACATGTGCTGCCTCAATAGTTGTATTTACAGCCACAGGCAATATTCACATGTAATGTGAGATGACAATTTATATAGTTTATTTCCTTAAAGGAGAACTATGGGGTCAGTGTTTTTCCCCATAGTTCTCCTTAGGGTAACGGGAGGACACAAACTAGCGGCCTCCCGTTACCCTAAGCTCAGTATATAGGGGGCTACAGCTCGCTGTATACTGAGACGCCGCAGCCGGAGACATAGATGACAGGATCCGCCCAGCTGCGTGAGTGACAGCTGGCTCTGCCTATCTAGAGGCAGAGCCAGCTGTACCCGCCCCCTCCCCCGTCCGTTCCGCCAGTCAGCGCTGGCAGATCGGAGCGGGGAGAGGGGAATCCAGCCCCTCCCCCTGTCACGGCAGAGAGCCGTGACAGGATCGAGAGGTGAGCGAACGCCGGTATATGTTCCCTCACCTCCCGATCTACTGAGCCGACCTGTGACAGTCTCATTGTCACAGGTCGGCTAGAACTATGAGGTGAGTGGAAATCACTCATCTCATAGTTCTCCTTTAAACTATCCTCTCATAGACATTGTATGGTTAATTCATGTGCTGCCATCTAGTGGTCTTTTTTTTGGTATTGCACATGTTTTTCTGTGTTCCCTTCCCTCACATCTATGATGTATTTCCCACTGTGCGTATCCTCCACCCTTCTTCTCCAGAGTAGCATTTCCTGTGTCATGGCTGCATGTAACAGGGCCACATGTAATCTGCATGTAACAGGGACACATGTTGATCTGCATTGCATGCTTTGAACATTATCATCTTTTTCGACCGCCTTAAATATTAATTCATTCATCTGCTGTACCCTGTCGTCTGCTGTAACCTGATGTACAGAATAAAGCACCTTTGCAGATGGAAAAGGTATTTGGTGAGTTCAGCTATCTGATAAGGATTGTCCGCAGTGATTATATCTACTTATACAGGCCAGGCATAGAGGTCTCAGCAAGGGATAAGTCGCTATTACAACAATCGGAGTCAGAATAGTACAGTAGGAGAGTGTTGCCCCCTAGGGCAGGAAGCGTGTCACTGGCAGGATCACTGGGCCAAAATAAACCAATAAAAGCCTGAGGAAAGATAACAAATCCAGCCACTACTTCTGATGACAGCTATGTATTACATTGTTGCTTTCGGGTTTAGATAAACTTTACGGTAGGCACTGGAAGGTGACTCTTATGCAGTTGGCAATGGGGGTGTTTTTTGATTGCATGCAATGAGACATATTACAAGGTTGCATAAAGTCACAGGTCCATCGTGTATTACATATATGTGATAAACAGAGGAAAAGGCGTAAAACAAAATAAATAAAATCTCATTGCTTTTATGTCTTTGATTGCAGAACCTCTATGGTTTTCAGACAGGCCCTGTCTAACAGCATGCATGCAGAAATCTACGCCGCCGGCTATTGTATTACGCAATGGTACCGCCGAACATCAACTGCTTCTTATAGGATACAGTCACTGTTCAGCTGACAGATTTCCACCTGGCTCAGCTGATTTTTAAATCCACTTGGAACACAGGGACCAGACATAGCCCCCCTCTACAGAAGGAAGGACAGTGTCAGCACCAATTCAGAGATGATTGGAGGATCTACAGCCGAGTGATACACAAATAAGATACATTGTTGTTAATACCGTAGTTAAGATGCTTGAATGGATTTTTAAGGTTTAACTCCGGAGTTTAGCGTCACCTTAATTTTTCCTTTAACTTGTTATTTTTTGGCTGGAGGTATAAAATTATTTTTTTTTAAAGTAAATGTTGCTTTCTAATAGGGATGCACAGATACTTTTCCAGTACCAGTGCAGATACTTGGCATTTTCATGACAACTACCAGGGGTGCAGCGGTTGCAGCTGGGACGTAGCTCTGGAACTCCGCCACTGTCCTGAAATCATTAGTCTGTATTGTTTTAGAAAAACTGTCACATGACAATAAACAAAAATGTACCAGTACTCGTACTCGCAAAAAAAAAAGGTTAAAAAAAAGC